GAGGTGGTGCCTCAGATGGGCATCACAGCCACGTGGTGCAGGGACTTTCAGTCCAAGTAAGACTTCTCTCTCTCTCTCTCTCTCTCTGTCTCCCTCTCCCCTCTCCCTCTCTCTCTCTTTCACCCCTGTCTCTCTCTCTCTCTCTCCCTTCATCCATCCATCCTTTTTTCCTTCCTTCCTTCTTTCCTTCCTTTTTTGTCCCCTGAATAATATGGAAATCCATTGCTGTGGCTCAAGTAGAGTGACATGATGTAATCTAAGATATACACAGATCACACTGGCTGTTTTGTTAGGAACGGACAATGGAAGAGCAAGAAAATATGTTCCCATTAGGAAGTTATAATACCTCAAAACCATAGATGGGCTTTCTGTTCACTTATAGATGTTCCTGGCTCCCTTTATGGCTATCAATGTAACACTGAGAAAAATCGTGAAATCCTCTGGCCCAATTTCCTTATTTATTAAATAAGCAAATTCGATCAGAGACCTAGACTTTCTCCAGCTCTGCTGATTTATGATTCATGAATCTGAACAAAATTTTGAAATTATTTTTTTCTACTACATATTTAGGCTGAAGCAATTTCCAGAAGCAACACCAATGGTACCACTAGAAACTCTCCATAGTGATGATAGATAGCAATGCCTTCCTAACACTAGTGTCATATACTATTCAAAACTCTTTTTGTTTGTGTGTGTGTGTGTGTGTGTGTGTGTGTGTGTGTGCTTATGTGCACAGAGGTCATTTCTTTGGTAAAATTTCCAGACTGAAACTATTTGTAGAAAGTACAATTGCCAGAAATTTCCCACAGATTGACACTTATGAAATAAAATGGTCACTGTGGGGTTCCTGGGTGGCTCAGTCAGTTAAGCATCTGACTTCAGCTCAGGTCATGATCTTGAGGTCCGTGAGTTCGAGCCCCGCGTCGGGCTCTGTGCTGACAGCTTAGAGCCTGGAGCCTGCTTTGGATTCTGTGTCTCCTTCTCTCTCTGCCCCTCCCCCGCTCACACTCTGTCTCTATCTGCTTCTCAAAAATAAATAAATGTAAAAAAAAAAAAATCAAATGGTCATTGCAATGGGATTTTTTATTCCTTGGAGACATTAAAAATATATATATTTCATAGCATTCTGAAAAAAATTCTTTCTTAGACATTTAAGATTGTTACATTCTGCATAAACCTTTCATGGTCCTAGCATTGAGAGAGGTTAAAAAGAACCTAACAGCCCACCTGGATGACTCAGTCAGTTAAGCGGCTGACTCTTGATTTCAGTTCAGGTTATGATCTCATGGTTCGTGAGTTCAAGTCCTACTGTTGAGATCTGTGCTGACAGAGCGAAGGCTGCTTAGGAATCTCTCTCTCCCACTTTCTCTCTGTCCCTCCTCCCCCCCTCAAAATAAATAAATAAACTCAAAAAAAAAAAATACCTGACATTCATTCTACATGGACTATTTAGTGGGTGCTTGTACAGATACAATGCCATTACATCACAGCAGGAACCCTATGTGCTCACTTTTACTTTACACTTTATAGAACAAAAGAGTTATTTAAAACATGCAGAAGTTACATACCCAATAAGTACTGAGCAGGGATTTGAGCTCAGGTGTGTCATATTCTATGTGATTTTCACTTCGCCTTTGCTACTCTCAGTGTGATTTGTGGACCACAGCTTTGACATCACCTGAAAGCGTGGGAGAAATGTACAATCTCAGACACTATATGGGATCTAGTGAATCAGAATTTACATTTTAACAAGTTCTCCAGGTGATTCGTGTGCATATGAAATTTTGAAATGCATCACGCTATGCTTCATGGCTTCTTATCACTATAGATACTGTTTGTATATTTCAAGTTCCTAAGCTGGGCGTGCTGAGATCTGAAATTCACAGTAAACCCCAAAATCATGCTGATAAAATTCACGAGACAACTTGATTATGGTGTTTGCTACATACGTATATAGTCATATACATATGTATGAACATACCCACCTGCACAGGCATACACATGCCTTGCCAAGAGAAAGAGACACAGAAACAGAGAGAGAGATCTTACCAGAAAATGTAACAAAAGATACTGATCTAGGAAGTGGGCTTAATAATTTTTACAAAATTAAGATAATGGTAATTCATTGTGACCAACAGAGTAACCTGCAAGCCTCTTCCTAACACTCTTTTATGTGAGAAATGTAAGCTCCACATGTCAGGCGAAAAGAAAACACCATACACTGTGAGTGTAGATGCCTGACTTATCCCCAGATTACTGGTTGCCAGACTCTTCGTTATTAAAACTTCAAAAACATTGAAAGGCCTCCAGACATCATTTACTCTGCATCTAGAAAGAGCCTCCAGTGTCAAAGTATTAAATATATTTATCACTTCAAAATCATTGCCCTGTGATGTTTGCATGTTCTTAATAAAGCAATAAGCATTGTAGAAATGATGAAAAGTTTCTGTGCAGGATACAGGAAGCACTAAGCTATGTCCTAGGAACTCATACCTAATGAGAGTGTTTGGATCATAGAAACAATTGGAGACCCTCTCTGCAGTATATTTTCTGCTACAGATTTCCTGTTCTTTGAGTTCCCTTTTATTTCCTCCTATTTATTTCTAAAATATTATATTTTATTTTACTACCTTGAAATTTTCTAAACATATTTTTATGTATCATTCTTGGTAAATATGCAAAAGTGTGAGTCCCTAATTCTGACACACTGTATATTCTAGTGTATAGGTATGTGAGGCGCTGAACATGAAGCCATTCTCAACACAGTTCACTTAAGCTCACGTTCAAGTCCTGGAGGGTGATTGGTTGAGGCTAAGCTGACACTGAGGTGTTGTAATTGAACTTGACTAGGTTACTGGGTATTGGAAGTTGGGGAGGACCTCTTGATAAAATTTGGGCTTTATTTTGTCTGCAGTCTGATATAGCATGCTGATTAACAGGCTGATCTATAGAATCAATCTTCCTACTTCTGGCTGTGTGACTTTGAGCAAGTTACTTATTTCTTCTGTAGCTTGGTTTCCTCTTCATTCAACTGGAAATTTAAAAATATAGATATCTATATATATATACCTATCTAGTAATGTTGTTACGAGCATAAAAAGAAATAATGATGCTTTTAAAAGTGCTTGGCAGGCACTCAATAAGGTTAGCTGTAATGGTTCTGTTCTTTTAACGGAACATCTTCTTGATAGTATTTCTCCATGTACATGATTAAACATTCTTTGCAAATGTGGTTTTTAATAATTGCATAAAGTTTCATGATGTGTTTATGCCATAGTTTGTGTACCTATTCTTTGAGTTTGTTAGACATCTGAGTAGTATCTAGTTTTTCATTATTTTAAATTAACTGTAGCTTGCATTCTTCCGTATAAATCTGTGTTCAAATGTCTGATTACTTGGAAAAAAATTCTTATTAGTTGAAGAAGATAGATGTTAAAATCACTATTATAAAAAATGTAGCAGTAAAAACATTCTGCCAGCTACATAGCAGTGCCAGTGAAAGACATGTCTCTGAAGTTTATTTGGACTTTAAAATCTATGAATCAGTGATCAGGAGTCTACAATCGCCTTACATCACTAAGGGGTATGCCACAAACTGGATATAGCCGATATCAGCTTCTACAGTACATATCTAAATGGGATTAGTTTAGAACATAAAAGATACCTTTTTGCTAAATTAGGGGTAAACTCAACAAACTTTCTCCATTCATCTTTTCCTGGATGCTTTTTATTACATCCCATGCCATCTATGTGGAAGTTGTTTTGTTTTAGGAAATTATATAAAACAGAAATACAGGAATGGAAGCCATCCAGAGATAACTACTTTCACATTAACTTGATATCATTTATTTGAATTTGTGAAATTTTGGAGTCAAAATGTGTCTTTTTTAACATGTATTTTTAGATTACTAATGCCCTAGAAATTTTTTAATGTTTATTACCCACTTGCATTAGTTTTTTGTGGCTGCTATAACAAATTATGACAAGCTTGGTGACATAAAACAATAGAATTTTTTTTTTTTTTTTTTTTTTGCAGTTCTGGAGACCAGAAGTCCGTTTCACCGAGCCAAAATCAAGGTATTGGTAGGGCCACACTCCCTCCAGAGGCTCAAGAGGAGAATCCATTCCTTGCTTTTCCAGCTTCTGATGGCCACCAGCAGTCACTGGCTGTGACTGTGTCACTGTGATGTCTTATACAGGCACTGTGGTGGCACTAAGTACCCATCGGGCTAATCCAGGATAATTTCATTTTAAAATCCTCATTTTAATCACATCTGCAGAACTTTATGAGTTAAACTAACATTCATAGTTTCCAGGGATTAAGACTGAATATGGAGCCACCATTCAGCCCATTTATAATTTTACTTTTGAAAATGAACTATTGATATACTTTGTCCTTTTTTCTAACAGCTTTTAACTTTTCTTATAGCATTAGGTATAGTATCCCCTTGTCTATATTTACTGATAAAGATTTCAAAATTTCTTCGCACTTTCACTTTTTAAAATGCTGCTGATTTTATTTTTTAAAGTTTATTTATTTTTGAGAGAGAGACAGAGACAGAGACAGAGCGTGAGTGGGGGCAGGGGGGCAGAGAAAGCGAGACACAGAATCTGAAGCAAACGCCAGGCTCTGAGCTGTCAGTGCAGAGCCTGACATGGGACCCAAACCCACGTACCGTGAGATCATGACCTGAGCTGATGTCAGACGCCTAACCGACTGAACCCCCCAGGCACCCCTATTTGCTCATTTTTTTGTTTATTTCTTTTTTAATATGGAATTTATTGCCAAACTGGTTTCCATACAACACCCAGTGCTCATCCCAACAGGTGCCCTCCTCAATGCCCATCACCCACTTTCCCCTCCCCCCACCCCCCCATCAACCCTCAGTTTATTCTGTTTTTAAGAGTCTCTTATGGTTTGGCTCCCTCCCTCTCTTTTTTTTTTCACCTTCCCCTCCCCCATGGCCTTTTGTTAAGTTTCTCAGGATCCACATAATGAGAAAGAATGAAATATGGCCTTTTGTAGCAACGTGGATGGAACTGGAGAGTGTTATGCTAAGTGAAATAAGTCAGGCAGAGTAAGACAGATACCATCTGTTCTCACTCTTTTGCTCATTTTTAAAACGTTGGATTGTTTACTTTCTTATCGTTCACTTTCCAGAGTTCTTTACATACTCTGTATACAAGTCCTTTATCAGACATGTAATTTGCAACATTTTCTCCAGCCTGTAACTGGCATTTTTATTCTCTTAATAGTATCTTTTCAAAAATAAAAAGACATTTTTTATTTTGACAAAGCCCACATTAATTTTGTCTCCTATGGATCTTGTTCTTGGTGTCATTTCTTAGAAACAGTTGCATAACCTAAGGGTAAAAGAGATTTCTGTCAGGTTTTTTGTGGAAATTTTAATTGACTTGAGAATTCTTAACATAGTCATTTAATGCCAGAGATGTTTCAAAGTTTTATTTCAGCATCACGGCACAAAGCTTGATAAATTGTGTTTTCATTTTTACTCAATTAAAAATATTTCGTGACTTCCCCTTTGAGTTATTTTTATATCTGAGTTTTCTAGACACTTGACGTTTAGTTTCTAAATATTTAAGGATTTTCCAGGGACCCTTCTGTCATTCATTTCCAATTTACCTCTGAAGTGATTATAAAGCATACTTTATATGACTTGAATACCTTTACAATTATTGAGATTTATTTGACGGCTCAAGACTATGGTTTTGTCCTGGTAAAATTTCACGCGCTCTTGGTAAGAATGTGACATTGCTGTGTGAGGTGCTCTGTAAATGTCACTTAGATCCAGGTTTTGATAGTGTTGTTGAATTTTTTTTCTTACTGATATTTTGCCTATTGCTTCTATAAATTCAAAAGGAAGTATTAAAACCTCTGATTATAATGATGATTTTGCTCTTGCACTTTTTTTGTTTTGTTCTTTATTTTTTTGCCTTTTGTATTTTGAAGTTCTGTATTTAGGCACATAAACATTTAGGATTGTTATTTCCTTATGACGAGTTGGCCCTCTTTGTCATTATAAAATTACCTTTTTTAATCCCTAGAAGTATTTTCCGCTGTGAAATCTAATTGGCTTTATAATTTAGCTATTTGTTTTCTTTTGCTTAGTGTTAACATGGTGTGAACTTTTGCATCCTTTTACTTTTAATTTATTTGGTCTTCATATTTAAAGTATGATTCTTATAGGCAGAATGTAACTTGTTCTTGCTCTTAAAATGTGTATATATTCTAAAATCACTGATTTTTAATTGAGGTTTTAGACAAATTATATTTAATGTGATTATTCATGTGGGTAGTGTTAAATTTACAATCATTCTATTTGTTTTCTGTTTTCCTGATCTATTCTACTTTCTTTTTCTGCCTTCTTCTGGATTAGATTTTTAAAATTATTCTATTTATCTCATTTGTTGTTTTATCAGTTAAAACTGTTTTATTTTCAGGGTTCCTGGGTGGCTCAGTCAGTGAAGTATCTGACTTTGGCTCAGGTCATGATCTGGTGGTTTGCGAGTTTGAGCCCCGTGTTGGGATCTGTGCTAACAGCTCAGAGCCTGGAGCCTGCTTGGGATTCTGTGTCTCTCTGTCTCTCTTTCCCCCTCCCCCACTTGCACTCCGTCTCTCTCTCTCTCTCAAAAATAAATAAACATTAAAAAAAAGCTGTTTTATTATTTTAGGTAATATTGCTTTAGGGTTTATAGTTTTTACTTTAGAATCACTGTTCACTTTCGGGTGATATTATGTTACTTCATTTATATTATAAGGAGTTTCCACTAACATACTTCCTCCTTTCCCCTCCAACCTTTACATCATTTTGTCCTGCATTTTACTTTTAAATATAAATACCATGCTATATTGTTATTGTTATTATTTTTATTTAAATAATTTTAAAGTCATATATATTTACTTACATTGTTATCACTTCCACTGCTATTCATTCCTTTTTATAGATCCACACCTCTGTGTGTGATCGTTTAACTTCAGCCTAAAGGTCTGCTAGTAATTACTTTTTTTTCAACTCTTGTGTATTGAAAGAGTCTTTATTTTGCCTCCATTTTTGACAGATATTTTAAGAGGCATAGAATTCTATGTTGATAGCTATATTCTTTCAATACTTTAAATGTATTGTCTAACATCCTTCTCATTTGCATTGTTTCCATATAGAAAAATGCCATATTGGGGCGCCTGGGTGGCGCAGTCGGTGAAGCGTCCGACTTCAGCCAGGTCACGATTTCGCGGTCCGGGAGTTCGAGCCCCGCATCGGGCTCTGGGCTGGTGGCTCAGAGCCTGGAGCCTGTTTCCGATTCTGTGTCTCCCTCTCTCTCTCTGCCCCTCCCCCGTTCATGCTCTGTCTCTCTCTGTCCCAAAAATAAATAAACGTTGAAAAAAAAATTAAAAAAAAAAAAAGAAAAATGCCATATTTCTTATCTTCACTCCCCTGTACGTAGCATGTCGTTTTTTTTTCTGTCTACTTTTAAGATTTTATTTTTATTATTATTTATTTCAAGCTATTTGTTTTGAGCTCTGCGCTAGCTATCTCCATGGTATTTATAGTTTATTGATCTTCTTGGGTCCATACCTTTATTGTTCTCATTAAATTTGAGAAACTTCACCCATTATCTCTCTAAATTTTTTTTGCCAACTCCTCCTTCACTTTCCCTCTTCCTTTCTGAACTCCAATTACACACATATTAGGCTGCTTGAATTGTCAAGAGCTCACTGATACTATTTTCTCTTATTTTTATTTAAATCTTCTCTCTGTAATTCATTTTAGATAATTTAAATAAGTGCTATGTCTTCAGATCCACTAATCATTTCTTGTGGATGTCAAACATGCTACTATCATCCAGGGTGGGCTTTTTGTTTGTTTGTTTTTGTTTTTTGTTTTTCATTATAGGAAACTCTACACTCAATGTGAGGCTCACACTTATGACCCAGAGATCAAGAATCATATGCTCTGCCTATTGAACCAGCTAGGTGCCCCTCAACCAGAGTATTTTTTTCTCACAGATATTGTAGTTTTCTAGTATTAAATTTAACATGGATTAAATTGAGTTCCATGGCTCAACTTAACAGTCTGAATATATGGAATACAACTACAATTACTCTGTTAATATCTTTGTCTGCTAATTTAACATATTCATCAGTTCTGAATCAGTATCATTTGATTGGCTTTCCTCCTTCTTATGGGTTATATTTCCCCACTTTTTCCCATACTTTTTGATTAGGTGCTAGATAGACATTTTGGATTTTATCTTGTTGGGTGATGTAGATATTTGTGTTCCTATAAATATTCTTGAGCTTTGTTTTGGGATGCACTGAGGTAGACAGGAACTGTATGAAACATTCTGATCTTACTTTCAGATTTATTAGATGGGACCAGAGATACATTTAAACTAGGGCTAATTAGTTCCCACCACTGAGGTAATACCCTTTCGAGTACTCTTTCCAGTGATAAAAAGGGGGCATGTTTCCATAGACCAAATGTGGTCCTTCAGAAGGGATATGGAGCTAATTTTGCTTGAAAGGGGATCTATTTATGAGGAATCACTGAAAGAAAATGGTGAACTCAACAGACTGCCAGAAGTCAAAGGCTTAGAAAACGACTTTGTAAGGAGTATGGCTTATATCATGGTGCTATGATTGGTGGTCCTTCAAGGAAGTTGCAAAAGCTGTTCTCATGAGGAGTCAGTCAGCATTTGAATATCTGATACACCAAGAGTCTTGATGCCGATTTACAGACTCAAAAGCCACTTGAGATTCTTATCTTTTCTTCAAACTCTCCCCATATATTCCATAACCCAACTCAATAGTTTCCCAAGAATAGTAAGAAGAAGTGCAAGAGGCCGTGAAGACTGAAAAAAAAAAAGAAAGAAACTTGTAGTTACCACCACTCCTCACCCTTTTTTGGAGTGATTCTTTGCCTGAGTGAGGTCTGAGCTATGGCAGGAGATAAACCTTACACTGAATCTTTTATATTAGTTTATGCCAGAATTTTTCATACTTTAGAATTACTAGAAAATATACAAAATCTACCTGAGACCTCAGTCAAGGGTAGAAAAGAATGGGCAGGGTAACAAATTTTAAGTGATTTTCAGCTTGTACCATGCCAGATACACTCATTCAATAAGCTGGTTAGACTTTCAGCGGGCCACTAAATGAACACATTTGTTTTAAAAATAAAGAGCGTATGTATCAAGGAAAAAATAAAACCCAAGACCAAATTGCAATAAAAATAACAGGAAATATTTATAACATCTGTAACAGCAAAAATCAGTACCAAGAATATATGTCAGTCATTTGCAAAGTAATTTTAAACACACAAACAATCAAATAAAAAATGGACAAAGACTTCACATAAGCACTTCGCATACAAAAAAAGAAAAACTAAAAGGTAAATAAATATCTACAAATACTCAACTTCGTTAGTAACCAGTGAAATGCAAATTAAAATATCAGTGATATATAATCACATCAATCAGATTGGCAAAATGAAATGCTTGACACAGCAGGTTGCAACAAACTCTCACACGTTTTCCTGGAAGGTGTATAACTACTTTGGAGAACAATTTGATAAATACATTTTTCATCAATTTGAAGCCCCTCAATGTCACTCCCTATTAAATTGGAGATAAATCTCACAGTGTGCAGAAGTATACTTGTTAATTACACCATCGTTAATCAGTAGAAGATTCTTTTACTCCTAATATTTTCATGCATCTAAATATTATACAAATGTGTCAGTCTGGGTCCAATCAGGAGACAGAATCACACAGTGGATTAAACAAGACAAGTTTAATATAAAGAATTGTTAAACTGTGATTTACAAAGAAAGTAATGGTGGGGTGCCTGGGGGGTTCAGTCAGTTAAGCATCTGACTTCGGCTCAGGTCATGACCTTGCAGTTTGTGAGTTTGAGCCCCACATTGGGTTCTCTCCTGTCAGGACAGAGCCTGCTTCAGATCTTCTGTCTCTTTCTCTATGTCCCTTCCCCACTCACGTTCTCTCTGGTTCAAAAATAAATAAACATTAAAAATAATAATCATAATGGTAATATATAAGGAAACTCTAAATGGTACCCTGTGAGTGAAGGAGAGTGCTCAAGGAAGGAAAAACTTGGAAAGTGTTTCAGACTTTGGTGAAGTATAACTCATCCCATAATAAGAAAGATAATAGAGATAACAGATAACAGAGAAGCTCACTGGATTTCTCACGCTGGAGCTGGTCTGCAGTCACTGGACAAGCAAGCAGCAACTTTCCAGAGTGCAGGCAGGGGCAGGCAATTAGCCCATGTGGCAGAGGCGGGTGGGGGGGCTACAGATGAGCTCTGTAGGGAACTGAAATGCCAGGGCAAGCAGGAGACTTTCTGGTACCTCCGCAGCCAGGAATCTTTCAGAGCATCAGTTTCCGTGTCAAGAGGGCCATAAGAAGGTTGTCACGAGGTTAAAGCTACCAAATCACTGGGACCACACATTCTTGGATGGGGGGGCAGCTCCATCAGATGTCCTTCCATGCACATCACTGACCCACCATACAGCAGCCCAAACTGCAGGGGAGCCTACAGTGTCTTTCTAGTGCCCTCTACTGAGAAAGCTTAATATCATGCTCACTTTAAAGGAGAAATGGTAAAGGGATTCTTTCTATCATGACAAACGTGTGTTGAATGGAACATTTGGAGCAGAAAGGCAATCAATTGGTAACTGCAACAACAAAGTAGTGAATAATTGAATAATTCTCAGGAGGCTGAATTTTGATACACATTAGACATACCAGTTTGGTCCATGATCTTTAGGAACTCACAGTCTGGGGTAAGAAGACAAGAACAAACAAACAAAACTCATAGTTGAAATTGTGATGTGGGATAGATTAAAGTAATTTTTTTTCTTATGGAAGAGTAGCAGGGTTCCTACTTCAGATGGGTTAAGAAATGAGCCTTTCTCTGAAATAGTGACATTCAAAGTGCAGTCATGAAAATAAAAAGTAGAGTCTCCTTCGGGAAGTAGAAAATGATCAGTGGTATCTAATCTACTGAAAAGGTTGGCGAAATGAGCAATGTTTGGTGTTCTTTTGTTTTGGCAACATAGAGGCCATTAGTATTCTTGGCAAGAGAAGTTTCAGGGGGAAAAAGCTAGATTGGAAAGCCTTTCTCTCTGCTACCATTGTCATGTCACAAACATCCACAAACCAGACCTGATAGTTTCATCTTTCCCCAGGTTTTTACCATCCTGCCCCGTTGTACTTCTCACCAAATAGACCAGTTAGGGAGAGGTTTACTTCAGTGTAATGGATTTTGCTATTTTCTGTTTAGGCTAAAGGAAATGTAATGTTTGCTCAAATCTAGAAGACCTAACTCAATCTCCAATTTTATGCAATAAAATTAATATTGATTTCAGAGTATGACTTTAAAACGTCCCAAACATATTTCACACACAATATCAATCAGACTTGTTTGGCTGCCAAAGTGAACGGAACATTTCACCAACCCTAAATCGAATTAAAGCTTTCAAAACTAAAGATTGTGTGGAATATTTCCCGTTTCTTTGAAAAAGTAACATTTTTATTTTTGCTGTCGTGCTTAACCTCTTAACAGAGAAGAAAGAAGTCATGGTTTTATAGCAGTGATAAAATTATTTTAGTAGACTTCCAAATCCAGGTATTACTGTTTTCAGCTCTTGATCTATAAAATTAGATGTATCTCTTAGGACTACATAAAGGGCAAAGTTTCATCATAATATGGGCTGAGACAGTGAAATGGCAGAAAGATATTTACTGAATATACCCACATATTCTACTTACCTGGCACTTAATTACTTTCAGTTGTAACTATGCTGAGGTGAGGAAGCAATATTTGCATTTTTGTTGGCTTTAAAGCCTCAGCATTCTCCCAAATTGTATTAATTGCTTGGATACCTGGTACCTTATTTACTGCGTCTCAACATAGAACTGTGGTCTGATAAACAGACGAAGCATATCCTGGTTGTCATGGATGCCAATGCAAAGATATGAATAAAGAAAGCTAAGGACATTTGTGCAGAACAGTTATTTGAAATCAACATTGGTATGATAAATACAACGTCTCCCTCACTGAGCACTCTTAAGAATCTATTTTAAAAATGAAGATTTGATTTTGTTTTAAGTTTATTTATTTATTTTGAGACAGACAGAGAGAGAGAGAGAGAGAGAGAGCGCACACACAAATGGGGGAGGGGCAGAGAGAGAGGAAGAGAGAGAATCCCAAGCAAACTCCACACTGTCAGAGTAGAGCCCAACCTCACAAACGGTGAGATCATAACCTGAGCTGATATAAGAGTCGGATACTTAGCCAACTAACCCACCCAGGCGCCCCTAAAAGTGAAGATTTAAAATACTCCTACCAAGTACTCTTCTCTAAGAGTGCCTAAGTAGTAACAACTATATTTTATGTGGAAATATTCCCCTCAAGCTCTGGTTCAAATCATAAATGAATCCACATTCTAATTTTTCTGCTCACTTAAAAAAGTAGAATGTAGTATGTAAATGTTATGATATATACAACATATAAGTTGAGTTTCTAAGATAAAAATAAATGTGTGTATGCTCACCACAGGGCTTTAGACATAATAGAGCTTATAGTACAGAATCCCCCTTCTGGTGGAACCAATAAAATATACCCATCTTGCTCACAGAGGAAAGTACTACCTCAAATATTGTTAATCAGTCTCTACTTTGCTTACAGTTTTACCATCAATGTGTGTATTGGTCAATTTTTATTATCGCCTATGTTTTTCCATCTTTTAGCTTTATGCTTTGCATTATGTTTTTGAGAATTATCTTTATTCGTGATATGGCTGTAGCTATTTGTTTTCACGGCGAGATAGTGTTCTATTGTTTAAACAATCATAACTTACTTAACCATTCTTTTGTTAATGAACATTCCATTTTTAGTTTTCTGCTCTTGAAAACAAAATTCCTATGAACATTTTTATATATGAGCCCTGATGTAATATACACGTACAGGAAGTTTGTAGTCATATGGACCTGAGAGTTCTAAGATATTTATCCAGGATTGGGATTGCTGGTACATGAAGATGACCAAGGTAAATTGTTAGATTTCACCACTTTTCCCAAGTGGGTATACCAATATACACTATGACCAATAGTGAAAGGGCAGTACCATTGCCTCATATCAAATTTGCGATGGACACTTAATTTTGACAGTCAGATGGGTCTGATGGTATATTTCATTATGAGAATAATAATATGCATTTCCCTGATAAATAATGAAATTGTATATATTTTCACTTACTTGTGACCCATTTGTGTTTCCTCTTCTGGATCATATCTTTGGCCCATTTTTTCATTGGGTTGTTGCCTTTATCATACAGAGTGGTGGGATATATTTTACAGATTGAAGATGCTAATCTTTTTGTTGTAGAAATGTTTCAAGTATCTTCTGCAAATCTGTGCTTTGTTTTTACACTATCTGAAGTTATCTTGTGATCAAAAGAAGTTCTTACATTTAATCCAATGGAAATGATGAATTATTTAATTTGTTTTAAAGATGTTTGGGTCGGGCGCCTGGGTGGCGCAGTCGGTTAAGCGTCCGACTTCAGCCAGGTCACCATCTCGCGGTCCGTGAGTTCGAGCCCCGCGTCAGGCTCTGGGCTGATGGCTCAGAGCCTGGAGCCTGTTTCCCATTCTGTGTCTCCCTCTCTCTCTCTGCCCCTCCCCCATTCATGCTATGTCTCTCTCTGTCCCAAAAATAAATAAATGTTGAAAAAAAAATTAAAAAAAAAAAAAGATGTTTGGGTCTTGTTTAAATATCTTTTCCACTCCAGAGTTTATGAACATATTCTCCTAACTTGGCTTCAGAAAACTTTTACAGATCTGTCTTTCATATTTATAGATTTTCCTCTCACTGTTCCTTTTGAGTAGTGTCTCAAAAAGAAATCCACTTTCATTTTTTTTCTAACATTGATAACCGACTATCCTAGTCTCATCATTTTGCCAATTACCTGCAGAATTTGCTCTTACATTTCTTACATTCATGCTTTTGCTTCTCATTTTTATTGTTTTCCAGTGTTCTATTTGTCTGTCTTGTGTCTGTCTAAGATGTACGCTTTGTAATAAGTATTGATAGTCACAAGTGTAAATTCTTATATCTGCTTCTTCTATTTCAAGAATATTTTGCTGATTTTTGACAATTTACCCTTCTATCCATACTCTTTTTTAAATAATATGTTTATTTTGTTTAACTTACATCCAAGTTAGTTAGCATATAATGCAATAATGATTTCAGGAGTAGAATCCAGTGATTCATTCCCTACATATAATACTCAGTGCTCATTCTAACAAGTATCTTCCTTAATGCCCCTTCCTCATTTAGCCCATTGCTCCACCCACAACCCCTACAGCAACCCTCATTTTGTTCTCTATATCTAAGAGTCTCCATGTTTTGTACCCCTGCCTTATTTTTCCATTACTTTTGCTTCCCTTCCCTGTTTTCATCTTTCTTGTATCTTAAATTCCACATTTGAATGAAATCATATAATATTTGTCTTTCTCTGACTGACTAATTTCACTTAGCACAATACAATCTAATTCCATCCACATTGTTGCAATGGCAAGATTTCATTCTTTTTGATCTCTGAGTAACGTTCCATTGTATATATACATGCCACATCTTCTCTATCCACTCATCCTTTGATAGACATTTGGGCTCTTTCCATACTTTGGCTATTGTCGATAGTGCTGCTATAAACATTGGGGTGCATGTGCCCCTTTGAAAAAGCACATGTACCTTTGAATAAATACCTAGTAGTGCAATTACTGACTTGTAGGATAGTTCTATTTTTAACTTTTTGAGGAACCTCCATACTGTTTTCCAGAGTGGCTACACCAGTTTGCATTCCCACCAGCAATGAAAAAGGGTTCCTCTTTCTCCACATCCTTGCCAGCATCTGTCATTGCCTGAGTTGTTGATTTTAGCCATTCTGACAGGTGTGACGTGATATCTCATTGTGGCTTTGATTTGTATTTCCCTGATGATGAGTGATGTTGATCATCTTTTCATGTATCTGTTAGCCATCTGGATGTCTTCTTTAGAAAACACATTTTCTAAAGAATCCCATTTCTTCACTGGATTATTTGTTTTTTGGGTGTTAAGTTTAATAAGTTCCTTATAGATTTTGGATACTAGACCTTTATCTGATATGCCATTTGCAAATATCTTCTCCCTTTCCTTTGGTTGTCTTTTAGTTTTGCTGATTGTTTCCTTCAGTGTGCAGAAGCTTTTTATCTTGATGACGTCCCAATAGTTCATTTTCACCTTTGTTTCCCTTGCTTCCGGAGACATGTTGAATAAGAAGTTGCTGTGGGCAAGATCAAAGAGGTTTTTGCCTGCTTTTTCCTCTGGGATCTTGATGTCTTATTGTTATACATTTAGGTCTTTCATCCTTTTTGAGTTAATTTTTGTATGGTGTAAGAAAGTGGTCCAGGATCATTCTTTTGCATGTCACTGTCCAGTTTTCCCAGCACCACTTGCTGAAGAGACTGGCTTTATTCCACTGGATATTGTTTCCTGCTTTGTCAGAGATTAGTTGGCCATACGTTTATGGGT